GTATAAATCGTAAATATTAAAAATATTTTTTCATAGTATATATAATATATAATAATATAATTAAGTCAAAAACTATTCAATATTGGACTCAAAAACTATTCAATAAAAATGTATTTTTTAAACATGTTTTAATTGATATACGATTATGTATGTTAATTTGATAAATGTTTAAAATGAAACATTTAAAACTAAAGGACGTAAAGTAAATTAATTAATTAATTATATGGGTATAAAGTATAAATTTAAAATTGTAATTTTAAAAAAAATGTGAGAGGGTGAGTGTATGTGAGGAGAGGAGGGGGTGAAAAAGTGACTAAAGAGTAGTATAAAGGGTATCTTGGTCATTTAGAATTTTAAGACTTTAAGACTTTTGTTAAATTTGCTTAATAAGATAGTATAGATATTAAATATAATTTATTTCTTATACATTTTACTTTACATTAATTTTTCTTACATGTTAGATGTAGAAAAATATTATCTTTGTGATGCTGCATATGCCAACACTCGTGGATTATTGACTCCACATCGCAATACAAGATATTGGCTAGCTGATTTTCGACGTCGATGTGCGTTGACCAAAAAAGAAAGATTCAATCATGCCCACACACAACTCAGAAATGTTATCAAGGTGCTCATCGTGTATTGAAAGCAAGATCCCCATTTTTGAAAAATTGACCACTTATCCTTTTCGAATACAAAGAAACATTGCAATTGCTTGTTTTGCGATCCACAACTTTATAAGAAGATGCAATATGCAAGATCAATTATTCATGGATTACGACAATAACCCCATGTTCATCAATGAAATACAAGAACAAATTGACGAAGGCAAGGAAGAAGAGATAGATGCAACGCCTTAGGGTCCCTAAGACAATGAGTACATGGTTAATTTGCGTAATGAGATTGCAAATCAATTGGTGTTAAATGCTTCAAACTAGATGTTGTACTCAACATATTGGGTTTGAACTTGAGTAACATGTGATGTTTTGTTATGCCAAAACTTGAACAAAGAATTCTTATGCTTGTTTAGATTGATATGATATCATACATTGGCTTGGACCGTTAATTATTTTCTATTTTTCATTTAGAAATTTCCTTCGGAACTTTTGTTAGACATTAATTTTCATTAAACACAAGACTGGGAGTAAAATGGTAATTTTATGTCATTCACACTGTTGATTTAGAACAGTTCCCAAACAACCATTTTCTATCTAACACTAAATCATACAGAGTCTATTATTCTACACTCAGTCATACAGTATTTACTAAACAGCCCCTAAGCCACTACCAAACAGTCATGTAAAGCTGACCAAATAAGCTGTGAGTACTATTAAGCTCATTAAACTGCTAACAAACAAACCCTAAGATAGGTAATATATAACCGGTAGAATAACGATTCAAGGGTGTGCTAGCAGATAATGTAATCAGGTAAAACATGTAAATGTAGTAGAAGCTACATACCTGGATTGTGATCTCCAAATATGATTTCCGCAAGCGCTCTGCCGCCGGTTTCTCCAGGGTAACCAACCCAGATAATGCTCGCAATTCGTGGGTCCCCTTGAGCGAAGGATACGTCAAGGGGGCCACCACCTGTCAGAACTAAAACTACTGGTTTTTCACTTGTTGCAGCAATGGTGGTAATGAGGGCCATCTGATAACCTGGTAAAAGAAGACTAAACCTGTCATGATCTTCGGTTTCTTGAGTCAAATCCAGACCGGCAACTATGATTACAAAGTCTGCTTTTTTGGAGATCGACACCGCTTCCAGAAATCCTCCATTGGAAGTACAAGAAACATCGAGACAACCAGATGCATGAGTTGTTCTCTTGACGTATCTTTTGAGGCCTTCGACTATGCTTGTTGGACTGCATGGAATTCCTACAAGTTTTAAATAATAAAATCGTAAGCAACATACATAAATGACTATTCAACCAATCTATTGCTTTAAAATGGCATCATAAGTATTCATATATGATTAGGTTAATCTCATCATAAGTATTCATATATGAATAGCTTAAGCTCAGCATAGGTATTCATATATGAATAGGTAAAGCTCATCATAGTATTCATATAAATAGGTTAAGCTCATCATAAGTATTAGCTCAGCATACTTATTCATATATGAATAAATTAAGCTCAACATAAGTATTCATTTATGAATAGGTTAACCTCACCATAAGTATGCAATTATTCATATATGAATGGATAAAGCTCCCCAAAGAAGAGCATCCACAATGGTAAGCTTTTTATTAAAAAAAGGGGAGCGGCAAAGTAAAACAAGCTTATTAAGAGCTTGTGCAGTTACAAGCAAAAAGTGGCTTTTTCACCATCTTATATGGCCAAAAAGCTATCCAAAAAGCTCCATTGTGGATTCTCTAAAAATCGTAATCCATCTACTCCAAAACAAGATATACAACTATCATCGATATTTAGCATTTAATGTAGTACGTGTGAAATTAGAGAACTTCGAACCTATATATCCTCCACCCAATGTGCTAGTAGCATTTGCCATTGGACCAATAACAGCTAACGACGAAACAACATTCTTTTGCAAAGGTAGGAACTTGTTATCGTTCTTCAAAAGCACCATGCCTTGTCTCGCAGCTTCTAAGGCCAAATTCTTGTGATCTGAAGTGCATACATCTCGAGGACCCAATTTCCCAAACTTCCCTGTTATTGGGTCGCCATCATATAGCCCAAGACGAAGTTGAACCATAAATAAATTGACAAGAGCTTTGTCTATGTCTTCTTCTTTCACCTTCCCCTTGTCGATTGCAGACTTGGTGTGTCTCAACATGTATGTTCCACAATTGATATCTGTCCCTACGCAACGATTTTAATGGTCAATATTTAGGCTATGTATAGTAAACTAGTTGATAAGTTAGTCGTTGGCTGATAAGCTAGATGTTGGTTGATCAGCTAGCTGAAAAATTAGTCATGTTTGGTAAAAACCAGTTAGATAAGTTAGATGACAAAGTAAAATGACCTAAAAGGACATGTTGAAAAAATAATTGGAAAAATATAAGGATCATAATTGAAAAAAAAGCAGGAAAAAAGCCCCTGAAACTTGTTGAAACGTTATTTGAAATAGTTTTTTTTTCTTTCAAAAAGCTAGCTTATGGCTAACCAATCAGGGCTTTTTCAATAAGCTCAAAAAATAAGCTAGTTTATGGTTGCCAAACATGGTCTTAATATTTCCAAGCAGAACATTAACAAAACGGGAATGGGAAGGGAGATAATAACCAGCTTTAAGAGCAATGGCCACAGCATCCTCGGGGCTTTTAGTGTAATTTTGATACTCGTATATGGTGGCCACAGCATCACAATCAGAAGTGACATACCTGTAGTTATAAATTAAACCGAATTTCTGTTCATCTTTAGAGTCAATTCTATATATGTGTATATATATATAGAAAGTTTGAAACTTGATGCAATGTAATGAAGTTCAAACCCTTTGAAACCCCATTCAGTTCGAGCTTTTTGTAAGAGATCTTGATCAGCACAAGCGGGTATTCCATTAACTGCGTTATATGAACACATTAAGCAGCTGGCTTTACCCTCTTGGATACAACTCTTAAATGGTGGATGATATGTGTCCTGCAGGTCCTGCTCAGTTACCTGAATATATACCCAACTTTCAACTTCACAACTTCCTCAAATCCATTCAATTTTCATCAAAATGCAAGAAAAGTTTAGTTTATAAGATTTCCTATTTTGAACGTTAACCTGCTAATTCTTGCAACGCTTGATGACATGATAATCCTTTACGAAAGGGTTATGACAAAGTAGACGATATATATACAAGATGAGGGTAAGAATAAGAAATTTGTAAACTTTGTTATATTAAACAGAAATTTTTGAAACTTTGTTACATTAAATAGGAAATTTTGAAACTTTGTTACGAAAAAATCAATGTTACACTAAATAGGAACAAAGCAAACTTTGCTACATTTCGATGCATTTTGCCTTTCAATTTTACTCAGATTTTCAGTTTTCAAAACTAAGGGTTGTTTACTTACAACTTAATGAGCATGAGCTTAATGGTTAAGTCAACTTATTCACCCAGCCATATAGGAGTCTTACTTTACGGCTTAATCCTTAAGCCATTAAGCCAAAATGGCTATATGGAATACGCCAAGACCCCTCACTTGTCCACATTAAGCCACCTCAAACAAATTAATACCTAAAGGCCCCAAAAATAATCCAACCTCTCTCTTCGCCTCCCTCAAACCCCTCGGTCTCTCGTCGCTCAGACTGATAAATTTATGCAGACAGATGACCTAACGGCTTAATGGGAAAAAGAATATGACTCTTGAATCAATTTTGCTAAACATACATTCAATCTTCTTCAGTTCTGAATAGAACCCTAAATCAATCAAACAGATGTAAATGTATATCGGTCTGATCTTAATTTCTCCAAAAATAGAACCCAAAATCAGATCTTGATTTTCAGAACTAAAATTAACATCAAAATCATGTAAATTCGAACTTTAATGAAGCAAATTTGAATCTAGAAATAGATATGGTGATTAATTAGTTAAGTGCAGAAGTATTCTTACAATAGCATTGAAGTTATATCTGGTGTAAACCCCCCAATTCTCCAAATCATAAGCAGTGAAATGCTTACAGCAAGCAGACACCATCAATTCATCATCACCGCCACCACCACCACCGGTCAACACCCTCCTCCGCCTATTCCTCTTCTTATTTTCAGTTCCAGTTCTATCGTTCTTCGATTTCTCCCCTTGAAACCCCCTCACGTACTCAATCGCATAAGCGGCTGCCACCATTGGATCCTCACCGGGTGTCTCCTGCCCTCTCCCCCACCTCGGATCTCTGAAAACGTTAATGGTGGGAGCCCAGAAAGTCAACCCAGCCTGACCTCCGTTGTACATTGCCCTTGCCTCAACGGCGATAGCCGAAGCAATAGAAAACCATAAGGTCCGATTAAAAGAGGCGGTGGTGAGAATGACTTGTGGGAAGCTTGTTGCCGCCGGGATGAGTCCGGCGTCAAAGGAGACACCAGGGCCATTGACGGCGATGCCGTGGAGAGATTCCGACCACCACTCGTAAGGAGGAATGCCGAGGCGAGGGATTCCGGTATCGTTATTGGAGAGGCGTTTGATCTTGTCAGAGAGAGTGAGAAGAGAGAGGAGGGATTGGGCTCTGATGGGTAATGGGAGGGTGGTGTTACAGAATGGGTAGGAGTTGTGGTGTGGATGTTGACATGGGAATTTGAGAGATTCCGGTGAGATTGATTGACAATTTGGGATATTTAAGGTGAGGAGGAGGAAGAGGAGAATGGTGGTGGCGGTGGACATCGGCGGAGGCGGTGGCGGTGAGTTGTTGGGATGACTGGGCATTGACTATTACGTTGGTTGGTCACAACTATCTTTTCCCCCTACAATGATTTTTCCCCAATAATTTTTTTTTTCCAAAATTCTTTTTCTTATCCAAATGTATTTGTTTAATTTTTTTTAACTTTTTTTGTTTTTTTCAAATAAAATATATTATAATTAATTAAAATAATTATTTTCGAGTTGTGATTTAACCTGTTAGTCATTTTTTTTAAATCATCAAAATGTCACTAAGGGGCCATTTACCTATACATTTACCCGGTAAACATTTACCTGTAAAATTCAACCACATGTTTATTTATCATGTAATATTTTATTCATCAAAACGCATCTTATGCAACAATTTATCCTGGTAAGCGCTAATCATGGTAAGAGTCGTTGCCCTCACTTACCGCGTAAGACTCTTGTTTCTTGTATTCGCTCTTACCGAATAAGATTATTAATCATTGTCATATTCATCCGGTAAAGTAATGTGACTTGATAAATACCTACCTAGGTAAGTGTTTGGTAAACGGCACCTAAATTCGTAACTGATTGAGAGCTCCAATTCAAATCAAAATTTCTACTTCATTTCACTTTTTAGTCGCAATTTCAAGTGAATTTCTGAACTAGTCGTTCTTTATGTAAAAACGTATTTTTTTAACACAAATGCCCATTTTTCTCTCTTTTTATCAGAAAAATGTGGTTGATACAAATGCGTAAAACATCTACTTACATAATGGTTAGTTTGGAAATTGATTTAAAATATATGACTAAAAAATGAACGAAGATGGAAAGATGGACTATTTCAGTCAATTTCCCTGATATTGGAATAACACACTACATAATCTTATTGGCCGAACTGTTTTCTACAAATGTACTTTTGGCAAAGAACGACAATGGATGATGTTTCTGCTTTTCTTTGACATATTCCTCGTTTTTAAGTCATTATGAGATTATTTTTTATAGAACTCATGTACCATTTGTTGCTTTTAAGCAAGCTTTCGGACACCCTTTTAATTCAAATTAACAAATTTAGGTTTTTAAAGTATAATACTATAATAATAAAAAGTACAAAAATATGTTGCAATTTTACACAGTTTTGTCTTTAATATAATAAACATTTTTTTCAACTAGTAAAAAATTATCAAGTTTTCCTATTTTAGATACATTTTCACTACTGCTAACCTAGCAATGTTATAACATCAGTATACATATATGAAATTATCAGTTATATTTTTGAAACTGATTGTATGAATCGTCAAAATCATTTTAACAAAAAAATCACTTATTACACACGTCAAGCTCCGAGCATCATTTAGCTTCAAAGGTTTGTGAAGATATGATTTTTCCCTCAGTTACTACATCTTTTCAAAATTAAAATTAACGAGCATAGGGAAAGATTTAAAGATTCGTATAACTGAATTACGTATTTTTTTCTTAAAGTTACTTGAATAACGACATAGTTTGAACTTTATAAAGACAACCAAAGTTCATGACATGTCCAGTCATGGGCGGACCTGATGTGGTGGCATGGGTGGCATGTGTCACCTTATTATTTCGCGGCCGAAGGGTAAAACATTTAGGTTTGTTAACGGTATTACCGTATTGTTTTTGAAGGTGCTACCGTATTTCCCTGAAATCCAAATGGTGCAACTAAAACCTAAACAAAACAAAGYCYAAAWAACCAAAACCATACTTTTTGTAATTATTTTTGGGTATATATTGACCGTTTTCAAAAGATGAAGACGCGTCGGGTACAAGTTTAGGAGTTGTTTATCGGTACACTATAAAAACCATATTTTTTGTAATTATTTTTAGATGTATATTATACTATATTAATTATATGGTGTCACCGTTTGAAAAAATTTCTGAGTCCGTCCGTGTGTCCAATACATCACACTAGATCTTTTCTGTGTCCTTGTTGCATTATGTATTGAGTGTTTCATAAGATATGCATTATTATTAGTCAGCTTAACGTATTATGTTTGACAGGTTTATTGTTTCACGATTGACCAGTTACTAGAATTTCATAAACACGAGACGTTCAAGATGTTAATTGTACTTTCATTAAGACGTGTAGTCGAGTATAAACATCAGTAGCATGTGATAATTTGAATAAGTAATTAATAAAAGAACTTTGTTTAGGCAATTGATCCTGAAATAAAAAAAAAAAACACAGGGGGTGCTCGGGACCCTTTTGGTAGCCACATAATACATGTATTGACTCTTTGCACCAATTGTAGTAACCGTGTCATGAACGGCATCCGTGTACATTACCCACATGACATGAGTAGCAATTTTTTCTTTTGTCATAAGACACTCACACAAGGGTGGTGCTTGTTGTTTTGAGCTTGGTTTCAAAGATCAAAATTACCAAGAGGTCTCAAGTTCAAATCAAAGGAGAAATAAAAATCTCATTGTGGTAACAGAATTTCAAATGCGGTGACTTCGGGCTATCTGCAAAGCAGGTGGTCGTTATGGGATTAATCGGCTCGCATAACGAGTTGAATATCCAGGTTAATAAAAAAAAATAGTCAATTTACTTTTTAGTAATCTAAGAAACCTTTTTCTATACGTGACTTCACATAGAAATTCTATTTTTTGTAGTAAAATTTCTAATTGATTAAAAAAACATTTACGCTAGTCATTTAATTATTTAATATCTTTTATTTTTTTCATATATTTTTATTATATTAACACATATAATCGTATATTAACTAAAATACATAAAAAATAAGTTTCTTTTTTACAAATTACATCATTATAATCGTCTCGTTAATACATTCAAAACGAGTTCAATATTAAATATTTTTGGATTTAATCTTACATTATTTAAAATTAGAAATACTTATGAATTATTTTTAGTACTTACATTTTATACCTTATAGTTATAGATTAAATAGAAAATCATAAGGATACAAAGTGTAAGGGGTCGTTTATCAAATGTTTACTCATGTAAGTGCCTGCCTACCAAATCATGTTACCTCACCGGACGAATATGGTAAGGACCAAGAATCTTATCCAAAAAGAGCGAGACAAAGACCAAGAGTCTTACCCGGTAAGTGAGGGTGATGACTCTTACCACGACAAGCACTTACTGGGTAAATTGTTGCATGCGATATCGTTTTGATGGACTAAAATCTTACCCAGTAAGTAAATAATATTGTTAAATTTTATTGGTAAGCACTTATCGGATAAGTATTTAGTAAACGACCCCTAAGTTTTAAAACTAGTTCGTACATATTATGATATTCAATAATATGATTAAAACCAAAAAATATTCAATGTTAGACTCGTTTTGAACGTATTAATGAGACGATTATAAATTTATAATGTGTAATTTGTAAAAAAAAAACATATTTTTATGTATTTTAGTTAATATACGATTATGTGTGTTTATATAATAAAGGTTAAAAATGAAAAATGAAAAAATAAAAAATATAAAATAATTTAAATAACTAATTATAAGGTTGTAAAATATAAATGTTTTTTTAATCAATTAGAAACGCAAAAAAGGATTTTTTTTTTTTTTGGTAAAGTTTTTTTCGTAAACTTTGTCTATTTGAGAAAAAATGATTCCTAAAAGTAGGGGTGAGCAGCGGAACCGGGTACCCACTTGCGAAACCGGAACTGCCTTGGAACTATTGGTTCCGGAACCGATATGAGTGGTTCCAGTTCCAGTTCCAGTTCTAGTTCCTAAATACGGAACCGATTGAGAATGGTTCCTGTTTCGGTTCTCAATTTTTCGGAACCGTTACCCGCCGGAACCGGTTCCAGGACCGGGTACCCGGAACCGACGGGTTCCCGGTATTTTTCAATTAAAAAATAATTATTATTTTTTAATACTAAATTTAAATTAGGTCAAGAACTTAGAACTCTAGATTAGATTTTTGGTCCCGCCTCTGCACCTCATCGACTCATACTCTCAGGCATGAGGCCTCTCACGAACCGTCTTCAAATCGAATTATAGTATGTAATCGTTAAACTTTGAACATTTACAATTATAAATGTAATCGCTAAACTTTCAACATTTACTATTAGTTTATTATGGTTTGTAACCATTAAACAATATTTGTAACTATTATTCCGTATAATTTGTATTCTTGTTTATCTATCTAGTGTTTTGGCAATGTTTTATTTTTTATTTCTAAATAACAAAATTTTAATATTTTAGGAAGCGGGCACCCGGAACCGGAACTGGTTCCCGACGGTTCCGGTTCCTGTCAAATAGGACGGGTACCCGCCTATGTTCACCCCTACCTAAAACAATTAAAAAGTGAAATCACTTTAATAAATTTATTATTTATATAAAATTTCTTTGTTTAAAATTTTCAGTTGATATTAGTAGCTACAAATAAATACATTTTAATGGTAATGTTTATTGTTTTCTTAATTAAAATATCAAAAATAAATGTTACAAACAAAAAATACTACATTTCTTATGTAAAATATTGTAATTTATAGAAGAAAAATTGATGTTTGCATCAAAATAATGCAAATAAATAATTGAAGATGGATTAAGAAAAAATGTATTTCCTTTAATTTTGAGTTACCGCAATCATGTTTCAATCATATTGTAATACTATTTCTAACAAATTATTCAAAATTTCCTTAAAATAGAAAATAAAAATTTAAAATATATAAATTAATTGTATTCAACCATCCTCACTAACAGAGTAAAACTCTCGAACCTTCTCTTGCTTCTTACCGGTTAAAATTATTGGTCCTTGTTATGCTCGTTTGATAAGGTAATTAGTCCGGTAAACGCTTACCTGATAAGCATTTTAATAAAACAGTCATCATAGAACGGTGGATGAGCAGGGTACATGACCGTGTTCCTTATTGGCTTAATGGACTTTGTAGCTCATATTTGTTTAATCTACAGACGTTTAATATAAACAAAAGGGTAAAATAGTCATATATTTATACTGTTCATTAAACACAACAATATCGAAACAACTGCTTAACTAAATTTATAGCAACAATTTTGTCCCCATAATATGTCGCTGTTTGCTGTTATTCCC